AAAAATATAACTTGCATGCTGTATAATCTCATAGTATATACAGTCTGTGAACAGACGGTATATCATCAATAGATGTCGCAGAATTTGACAGAATTTTTTGTAATATTTTAATTATTCATTTATTCAAGGCCCGCATATTGTAGCCTGTGCACATGCAGACAGCCGCATGAGTTTTATTGATATGGCTAGTTATGTATGACTTGCATGAATGTATGAGAGATACTAAGATATTTGGTTTTTGTGCCGTAATTGAAGTAAAAGGATAATAACAAGCGCGAAGTTTGCTGTTGGCATAATACTAATCGAGATATACTAGCTTTTAATAATAGTCAGGCAGATAGAGGATCAAAATTATGGAAAACTCACCATATCGAGGGGCAATTCCATTTTGCGTTCATATTGTGCCCTGGTGGCTAGTATAAGTACGTTTCTGAATGTTGGCCGCGTTAAAATTTCTTGTGGGCTCCAGCCGACACGTTTTTCTTCGAATGTTGTATTAAACTCTATTACAGTTAAAAAATGTGAAATTTCAAACACATTTCTAACACGAATGACTTACATCAATAGAAAGCTAACAAAAAACTACATATAAGACATTTAAATGGATCGTTCGGATTTTCAAGCGGTTTTCGAGTTCTTGCCGCTTCAAACGTGAAAAATAAGCCAAAATCTCGCAAAATTGCTGGGTACTAGTCTGAAAATACGCTTTCAACAGCTCATAACTCAAGAAGAACTTGAAAAAACCGGGTAACCGTTTAAATGTGTTATATGTAGTTTTTTTGCAACCTTTCGAATGATGTAAGTCATTTGTGTTAGAAATGTATTTGAAATTTTACATTTTTTAACTGTAATAGAGTTTAATTAATTAATACAACATTCGAAGAAAAACGTGTCGGCTGGAGCCCACAAGAAATTTTAGAGTTTAATACAACATTCGAAGAAAAAAGTGTTGGCAGGAGCCCACAAGAAATTTTAACGCGGCCAACATTCAGAAACGTAATTACTAGCCATCAGAGCACAACAGTGAAGGCAAAATGGAATTGGCCCTCGATTGGTGAGTTGTTTTCCTTCTATCTGCCCGACTATAACAAAGCCTTTGTTTCAATAAATTTAATTGAATTCAAGATTAAAATTTATTATGTCTTAGGTACAGTTCGTAGGTCATCGTGTTACATTTATTTCAATACAATGTCAATGTCAATGACAATGTTTACGTTTATAAAAAGTTGCCAAGTTGGCAAATTTACTGTTTTGGCAATTAATGTGTGATGTGGCCGAAATTATCGGCCTAATCTTATCGTAAGTATAATTTTGTCTGGGTTCTGTATATAAATAAATTGAGATGCTACAAAATAATATACAGGGATATCGACAAAACTAATTTTTTGATACTGTGTTACGTATATAAGCAATTGAGACATCCATGTACGACATTAAAAATGTAGCTTCCGGCAGCTACTGTTAGCTACGTCACAAACGTAAACAAACGCTCGGGAATTTTTGCAACTTGTGGTATGGTTGGACGAAAATGGCTGTAATAAGTTCAAAAGTTCCTCTAAAAGTTCAAAATTTCGTCTACTTCAAGCTTACCGGTAATTTACAACAAAACTAGGAGTTACTATCGCAAGGAAAGTGCTGCCTTTTGGCCACATGAACTGAATGCAAAAGTATACTTCTACACAATTCTGTAAAGGGAAGCCTTTTACTCTTGACCCAATGTGCTCATTTCCACGTTTCATCATTGTTAGCATGGCAGGCCTGCACATGATGGTTATATGCTGTATGTTTCCTGCACAAATTTGTTTCTCGTTCATCATTTAAGACTAATCACAAACTTATAAATAACGGCAACATGAAAATGAGGCCATTGGGTCAAAAGTGGATAAACAGCATTAATAAGGTCTATTAAGTATTAACCCATTAGCGAACTCTGTTTAACGCCAGACAAATGTACACTGCACGTGTAACGCCAGACGATTTTACTTGTCAGTGGTAGAGTACTGTCAGTAAATGGGTTAACAAACCTATCTGCCAATGTCTCTTATTAACAACCCATTAGCTGGCAATGCGACCTACTTTAGTATTTACTGTCTATCAACGCCAGACAATTTTACTCACCAGTAGGTAGAGTACTGCCAGTAAATGCATGGGTTATGATTTCTCGTCACGTCCCAATTTAAAATTTTACATTTTTACGATTTTTATTGTTTCTAATCATGTATTTACTCACTGCATGGCCAAACATTCCTTATTTCATATCGAGAAAAATTTTTGAATATGTTCTAAACTCTTCAGAATTTGCTCAGAGTCATGTGAGTAAAATACTCCTTGTATTCAAGTGCTTTCGTGTGGAAAGTTTCGTTTGAATACGGCACAGAGTAAAAATATTTATTTTGAATTTTTCAAAATATCGAGTTTTTACTCGCACGCTTGCGCCACGTGTATGCTTGGCCATATTTTGCCCGATACACGTGCAAACACTGGGAGTACTTTGATCTGTAGAATTTATTTCCGGTTTTTCCAGAGCCCTAGGACGTAAACAGCCCTTTGTTTTGATGTACGTTTCTTTCATCGGCCGTGCTAATAATATTTTGTAAATACCGAAAAAGATGAAAATCTGAAGACACAAGCTTGAAAATAACACTCTAAATAGTGTTTTGGATTCTGCTTCGAATGAGATTATTACGAAAAATATATGTCCAAAGGGGCCAAAGTTATGTCGGCGAAATGTATCACCAGTTTACATTGTTTGTTATATAATGAAATATGATACCATACCTTACTTGTTAAAATTCGCATCGTACGTCGAGAACCATACAATAAATATTTTAGTTCTTGTTGGTATTTTGAGTTTTGCGCGCGGATTATATTTCGGGCAGTACTAAAATTTGCGCACCCAGCGCTGCGCTTATAGTACTGCGCAAATTTTAATACTGTAAGGTATATTGTGGACATTTGACTAAAATTATAATTTAATACAATACTCGACTTTGAATAAACAACAGTTTATAAATTCTTAAACTCTTTCATATACATAGTAGCCAGAGATTTGTAGTAGGTAGCCATAAATAAGGTAGCCATACTGAGGGATATTAACCCTGTTTCCCTCGACATTCGCAATTTTATTAATATTATTAAACCGCTTCATCACATCGATAAATAGACACTGAATATATAAACTAAACTCACAGATATTATTACTTTATGTACTGAAAATTTCGGGTAAAACACTTTAAAGACACATCTTTGAGTAGCCTGCTCGCAGCATTGAAGAAAATTTTGTTGAACAACCCCTTCCGGCATTTTACAAACGAACTTGAAAGACACATCGTTGAGTAGCCTGCTCGCAACATTCGTGAAAATTTTGTTGACTGACTTGACTTTGAACAACAGTTGAATTCTCAAATGCTTTCATATACATTATTTATAGCCAATAGACTAGACATAGTTGATAGTTAGTTGTCTTTATAGCAGCCAAAGAGAGATATTGAAGACAAATTATGGTGTATTTATAATCACAGTACTCGACTTTTAACAAATAGCAGTTAAATTCTCAAACTCGTAAATATACATAATAGCCAGAGATTTTATATAGTACAGGTATAGCCATAAGTAGGTGGCCGATAGCCATAGACTGATAGACATAGTAGTCTTCGTAGCGGAGATACGAACCCTGTTTCCCTCGATATTCGCAACTTTATATTAAAACGGGATATTCGCAACTTTAAACCGGTTCATCACATCGATAAATAAACACTGATTATTAAATCACTTTCATATTAGTCTTCATAGCAGAGATATGAACCCTGAAAGGCTGTTTATAATTTTGACTGTTTCCCTCGTTTCATCACATCGATATAAATAAACACTGAATACAAAATTTTGTTGAACAACCCCCTCAAATTTACAAACGAACTTGAATACATAATATGTCCCGGAAAACCGACATCCTCCCCTCTTCGAATCGAGATTTCGACTATACATAACTCGGCCGGAAGGACTGGACACGAAAAAGCAAGAACGTCAAGAATAGTGTGCTGCCTCGCTGACGCTCGGCAGCAATTAATTTGCAACAGTTTTACATTCGCGAACCGCATCATTTGCACAAATGAATTGCAAAACTATGAACAATATGTTTGAAAGATTTGATATTACCGTAATGACTTTTCAAGTTTTCAGAAACATTGCACTATCCTTGGATCCCTAGTTTGTGATGAAAGTGCCCTTTTTGTACAAGTTAATGTCGCTGTAAATACTAAATTAACATCAAAGGTGCCCTTTTTGTTTGGAAATTTCCAAGTTTTTAAAAAAAATTTGGTCAAAAACGTGCAATTTCGGTATGGTACGACGGGAAAATTTTTCTTCCCTAAACATAACTAACGTTGAGTTCGTAACGAAATATCCTCGAATAATCGAATATAATATAGATAATACACGTTCGATCGAAAGAATATGAAACTTGTTGTTTTTATACTAAAATTCCCGTATGTAAAAGCGAATCGCACGTGTTTAGCCTGCGAACAGGTTCAACAGCCTGCAATCAGGCTCAAAGTTTATCACACTCCCGGCGTTGATCACCCCAGAGTGATCAAATATACTTTAACGATACGATTATAATGAACTTATCTCATCCCCTTTCGTAAAAGTTCTCCAACTACCGCCGCACTTCGTCTCGGTCGCTGTCTGGTCGATTCTTCTTCTTTCGGTGCACTTTCAACAGCTGGAGACACATCGTTTTCTGTATCTGGACTCAATTTCAGCTCCAGAGGAATTAAATGTTGTATAGGCCGTCGTCGAGCTCTCTAAGAGAACTGCTATAAACGATATTTTATCGCTTTTAAACATTCGATCATCGCGAAACATATTTCTTGGACACTTTGTAAAGTCGTTTTGACTTTGGTATTGCTATCCTCGTTGCTATCGACCTCAAATATAGTTTATAGTCTGGTCAGTCTGGTGGAACACATCGAGCAGACGAGCACGACAAAGCACCAAGTACGATGTCGAAATCAAATCTTAGGATGTCGTGGTCTGGCGATTATTCATCACTACAGGAGTTCGTTGAAGACAAGTTGTGTTTAGTTGGAAAATGGTCATCTATTGGGGGCGAAAAGAAGCAGTTCGAGGGGGGAAATATTGTGATAAATTGGTGGAAAAACAAAAAATATTTGGCAATCTCCGGCGAGAAGGCAAGTGATATTGTATGTAGATTAACAACATTGTTTACCGACACTTATATATTCGACGATCATTGCACTGCCGCAGTTGATGTTGAGAATTCGATTAACAATAACTGTTCTTGTTTGCGTGTGGAATCTACTGTTGAAACGGAATGCATGAAAAAAAACTGCAATGTTGTGGAAGCCGCAAATGCTGCAATTAACCCAAATATGACAAATATTGGCGGCCAAATATGCCATTGTAAATGTAAAGAACTGTCCACGGATTTTGAGGGTATAAAACTTGACCTAGTGGTCAATGAAAGGATTATTCTTGATAACACCTCCCGTATTAGCAAGGTCGAAGGTTTATTGGCGAGATTTCAAACCGAAAACGAAGAAATGAAACGCCAATTAAGTAGTTTTGAAGCAAAAATCACTGAGCCGTTAAATCAAACATGCATACATCAAACACTCGAGCCTCATGTTGACCTTGAAAATAATACGAGAGCCTCTAGTTCTTTACAATGTCTGGATAATATGACTGAATTAAAAGAGGCAGAAAGTTTTGTAAGTGTTGAAAACCCGCTTGAAGATGCTTCTTTCAGTGGTGAGGGTCTTGGTAATAATAGCGTTATTGTATGCGAAGTTTTCACTGTTGATAACAGTGAAATATTATTAATAGAAACTGAAGAATTATCTGTTGGTACAGATAATAAGCGTAACAAAGCCCTAGAAAATTGTTCATTATTAAAAAACCTAAGTTATTTCCATCGTTCAAAAAGCGGCTTATATAGGACAAAGGTCAAAGGCCACGGGGGTCCATCACATAAACTACATACGCAGCAGAGTAATTTGGTACAGGGTAGAATAGCTAACAACCAACCCATTCCAACTCGAATCACTAGAAGAGAGGAACCGACGAAAGATCGACAAAAAACTAGTCTGAGGCGGAAAAAAGTAAAATCTTCATGTGAGCAGGTTTTTCGTTCAGAAATCAGATGGAAAGACAAAACGAAAAGGTTCAGGTTTTATTACTAGATGATTTCTTATCCCTAAACCTATATAATCATCAACAAACATTAGTAAATGGACAAACAACTAATGCAACAAATTTTAATAACCTAATTTATATTGAAACATCAATGTTCCCAGATAAATCTGAAAGTATAAGCACTCAGGATACAATGTACCTGCATAGTTCCAAGTTTCGTCAGGAGCCCCTTAACAGTGTTCCCCAAAGTGGTGAACCTTTGTTTATTCTATCTAATGTAAGATAACTTCTTCCTAAGATTGATGAGTTAGAAACTATTCTGAAAGCAAGTTGTATAAACATGGCCTTTATTACAGAAACGTGGCTGAGTGAAAACATCCACGACAGCGCTGTCGAAATTGATGGTTACTCCTTTGTCAGGGGTGATAGAGTTAACAAGATAGGAGGAGGCGTGTGCGCCTTTATTAAATCATCTATTCCATTTAAATTATTACCCGAACTACAAGACGAATGTTTTGAAATCCTGTGGTTATATTTGAGACCTATAAACTTCCTCGAGGCTTTTCATGCCTGATAGTATGTGTTATTTATCATCCACCATCCAACGATAATCATGCCCTAGTCGAACACATTACCTTAAGCCTCGATTTAGCCCTAATGAAGCACCCAAATGCAGGAATTTTTCTGGTCGGTGACTTTAATTGATGTCCTGTTTCAGCGTTACTAAGACATTTCGCACTAAAGCAAATTGTCAAAAAACCTACGAGGAAAAATGTTGCCCTGGATCTAATTCTTACGAATATGTCTGCCTGTTGCAACCCTGCATTGGCAACCTCTCCTATTGGACTAAGCGACCATAGCTCTGTGTTATGTACACTTAAAAGAAATCTGATAAAAAACGAGACCAATAAAGTGAAAATTCGAAGTAATATACATGCCAACAAGACAGCGTTTGGAAAATGGTTAGCTGATCATAATTGGTCGACTTGGTATCGTACTGTCTCGTGTAAAGACAAGCTAGATATTTTCACAAAAGTTATCAACACTGGTTTAGATTGTTTCTTTCAGATTAAAATTATCAAACTACCAGCTAATGATAAACCCTGGGTAACGCCCGAATTCAAAGAAATCATTAAAGATAGGCAAAGAGCATATCATGACAGGAATATCCAAAAGGAAACAACTGAGGTCCAGCTATCTTGATAAAAAAAATGGACCAGCTTAAATCTAATCCTAACCCGAAAAAGTGATGGGATTGGATAAAACAATTCGCAGGGTATCCGAAGAGAAAGGCAATATCGTCTATGGTCCTTGACAATGAGATTGTTGTTAGAAATGTTTTAGCAAATAAAATTAACGACTTCTTCATATCAATTACTAATGAAATTACACCTTTACAGCCAGAATCTACAGAAAGTCAGTTCGAGTTTAATGAAAGTAACATTCATCCCCAATTTATTATTGACGAAGAAAGTGTGTATAATAAATTGTCTGATATATGTGTCTCGAAATCGTCAGGTTCAGACGGCATCCCAAATTGGGTACTTAAACATTATGCTTATATCTTAGCCTTACCAATTGCCTCACTTTTTAATGCTTCGATACAGCAACAGCACGTTCCTGCAGTATGAAAAGACGCTGAAGTTATTCCAATACCAAAAATATCGGTACCTGCAGACATAACAACCGATTTGCGTCCTATTTCATTGACACCTACTTTGTCTAAAATATTAATCTGCAAATCGTTTGTATCTGATTGGTTGATTAGTTCAATCAAGAACAAAATTGAGAAGAGGCAATTTGGCTCTTTGAAGAATTCCTCAACGACTCATAATTTAATTAGTTTGGTACATCACTTATTAAAGGAAACTGATGCGTCAAAAAGCGCCGTTAGAGTGTTTCTTCTTGACTTTTCTAAGGCTTTCGACCTGATAGACCACAACATTTTGTTGCATAAATTATTGGAATTGAACGTTCCCCCAACTATTTTTAATTGGATTAAAAGTTTTTTAACTGGACGGAGGCAATGTGTGAAGCTGGGTAGTTGGTCTTCGAGTTGGAAAGTTTTAATGGAAGAGTACCGCAGGGAACTGTTTTGTGTCGTGTTCGTTTTTTGGTTATGATCAACGATGTTCTCGATGAATGGCCCGACCGATGGAAGTATGTAGATGATAGTACGGCTACTGAAAGTGTCATTGTTGATTGTAGCAGTAATCTTCAGAATCTCGTCGATTATATTTATAATTGGACTGTTACAAATAATATGAAACTTAATGTCACTAAATGTAAAGAAATGATCCTTGACTTTGGTAGGGTAAAACGGAATTTTCCAGCATTATTAATCGAGAACACTGAGGTTGAACGTGTAAATTCTGCCCAAATTCTCGGCGTTACGGCAAACCAAAATGAACTGGAATGAACACGCTAATAAAATTGTTAAGACATCTGGGAAAAGTTGTATATGCTTAATTATTGAAACGAACCAACGCTGACACTATAATGTTATCCATCGTATTTACCACTATTATAAGGCCAGTCTTAGAATACGCTTGCCAAGTTTGGCACTTCAACATTCCAGGTTATTTGAGTGATGATATTGAAAGGGTTCAAAGAAGAGCTTTGAGAATTATTTTACCAGAACTTAGCTATAACGATGCACGCGAACTTATTAATATTCCATCCTTGAAGGAACGACGTGAGATTTTATGCGAACAGTTCTTTTTGAGAGATGAGAACCTTCAAAAATTGGATGAATTTTACCTAATAAATCCTCTTCGGTCTATGATACGAGGGGAAATTGTAAATATAATAATTATTATTGTAAAACAGAACGTTTTAGAAAATTTTTCTTACCACAAATTATTTCGAAATTAAATTGTAAATAGTAGTTTACTCCTTTATATTTAATTATTTGTAGTATAGCTGATGTAATTTAACCTTCGGTTACAAAATCAGTAAATATATTTAATAATAATAATAATAAAAAAAATAAATAAAAAAAAAATAAAAAAATGATACCGTAAGTGGAATGCGATCCTAACAGCTGAATATAGTAGAAGTTAACTCAAATATTCTATATACAAACAAAATAATTTCCCTTAATTTAAGTTCTTATTAGCAAATAAATATAGGCAGATTAATTATATATTCCAGTTCAATGTCCTTTTTGCATGACATTCGTTGAACGGGCCTTTAATATATGTGTTTCGATGCATTCTCGACAGGTGTTTCCAACTTCAAGAGAGACGTAACATATTTTCCGCCTGTACTCCTTAGCTTTCTGGTGAGACAAAGTTGGAGCCATGTGGTTCATTTCATTCAATAGAGGGGGCCAGTAGTCCGGAAGTAAAACCGAGAATGTCTAAGTTACTATCAATGAAGATTGATACTGACTTAGACAATATCGGCTTTACTAAGAAAACTGATACCAAGAACATTTTTGAACTGATAGAAAGAACTGATACCAAAAACATTTTTTAGCTATTGAGTGTTCCTTGCTAATTTTTGTCTAAGCAGTATGTTGTGTAAACAGTAATTTTTGTCTAAAGAAATTTGGGGCTGAATCCGATGCTCAGAACCAGGAGGAAATGCCATTTCCAGGATACAAACGCATTTCGTAGCCTTCATAGCATTCATTCCCTGACCTGCAAAGTCATACTGCACATGTACAACACATTCAATGGGATGTGTCGAGAAAGATAAACAGCTGCAGTTTAAGTTCATAATTTATTCCAGCCACATTAAAACCATCCATAGCAACAGAATCCAGCAAACAGTTCCCAAATATATAGGTTTGCTGTTGTTACAGCAAGGTGACTAATTTTTCTTTTGACCATCGTAAGTAGTATATTAACTATTGTTGTTATTTTTTGTTCTAGACATATTCAGTTATATATCTAGGTAATTTTTTAGCTTCAACGATGGTTTTTGAAACAACAGCGATTGCCACGTCAGATGGAGCACGCTTTATAACTGCGTGAGATTATACAAGCTGTGAATTCAAATAATAATTCCTTCCGACTTAGGGTGTATAAGCTACGAAATAAAAGGCAGGTGAATTGTATTTTATTTCAATGTCTTGTTTATGAGAGATTTGTTGCATGGTCCTATTATATTTTTGTTTGAATTTTCCGACAGGTGTTCCCAACTTCAGAAGGGACGTTCCGTATTTTCTTTATTTCCTCAACTACAAAGGACCATTAATGAACAATTATTTGGCACGCAATTGTTAGCTTCTTTTTTTCTGTGTTCCGATAGAATTATAGGTCTCTGTCTATAGTACGTTGTATTTCTTGTCCATTTGGCATGTGAAAACTTATTAAGTTAAACTTAAACTCAATTATTTCGGAATATTGGCTTGTTGTATAACGTTAAAGTTTATGTTTGCATTTTCAAATCCCTAGTTGACTTGGGTGCCACAAACTCACAAAACGTCATAAAATTGCGTTTCATGCCGGCTTATGTCAGTCATGCATGCTTTCATACTAAGGAAATTTACTTCAACTAATTGTGCAAAAGTGCATTTCATACCTAATTATTTATCTTCTGTAATCAGTGGCAAATACTGCAATTTCATTGGTTTACAGGAGTGCGATTTGAGCATTAATCGCACCTTTTCTGAGCTGTAATCGCACTCTTGTCTACAGCCAATGAAAAACAGTCTAGTATTTACAACTAGCCAATCAGCATCCAGGATACAAACTTTGAATTTTATTCTCTTTATTGCTGTAAAAAATTCCAAAATGGAGGAATTCACAAATTTTGACCTTTTAATTTTTAAATCAGCCCTCGAAAACCGTCAAAATTGAGGTCGGAAAAAAAATGCCGACCTAAACCTGACCTAGCTCGGTACATCTCGGCATTTTTTAAAATCTGTTTCCATGTCTTGGAGCACTAGTAGCCTGCACTAGTAATCACGTATTTACGAATCATTGAAAAGTATAAATGTCACGAAGCCTTTTCTTTTAGAGTTTTACCTAAATTATATCATAAATATACACGTTAATTCTTAAACCTTACACCAAAGTGCATCGAATTCTATAATCGC